TTCCTTAAGGATTTTGAAGTTCTAAAATATTTGGTTTGTAGCGGGTTTTTGTGTTATCGAGGTCCGAACGGAATTCCTAGACTGAGAATAGTTCTGTATTGTCATTTGAGACTTGCACACAAAATTTGGTGTCAATCCGAGTAGTATAAGTGTGTTTCGTTACATTGGATGTGAATCGAAGAACTTGAAGTTCATAAGTTTGATTCAATTGGTTTTAGGGGGTGATTCTTAGTTCTAGAGTTTTTCAGGCGTTCCGAGGGTTCGAACGAGTCCGTTTTATGATTTCAAACTTGTCGGTATGTTCGGGCGGGGCCCCGGGGGCCCCGAGCGTCAATCGGACGAGGCTCGAGCGGAGTTAGGAAATTTTGGAAGGAGCTGAAGCTCCGGGTTGCTGTCATAACCGCACTTGCGGTTGGCCAGCCGCAGGTGCGAGACCGCAGAAGCGGTCGATCCTTCGCAGGTTCGGCCCAAGGGGAGGAGCCCAGGAACAGCAGATGCGGCTTGATCACGGCCAACCCTACACTACTATTAAGCAGCGAGAGAGGTCGAAGCAGCTTTTACCCGATTTAGGGTCGGGATCGAATTCCACAGAGAGCTAGATATTGGAGTTGGGTGACTATCTAAAGTGGAGTTGTGTGTTTTCTCCAAATTGCACTTTCTACGTATTTTTGGATTTTAATTATGATTCTAATTCTATAAACTACAATGCTCAATTTAACTACTATAAGCTAAGATTAAACTATTGCAAGTTGTTCAAATGATTAAAGGGCACTAGGGTAGTGACTTTCACCTAGGTGGTCAATTGATGGAATCTTGAGTCTAAAGCTAGATTGACACATTTGGGGAGTATGATATAACCTTTGCTCGATTCTACTCACTCTATACCGCTCGGTAGTTCGAGTGATTTTTCCCGAATTGACTTTCTCAAGATCAATTGGGTATACAAATTTGCCCAAGCAATTGAGGATCAAGTCGGGTATTACGATCTCTCGGTTTAACCCTTTAATTGGGTCTATCAATTCTCTTGAGTACGCCCCAATTCCTTGTTGGACTAATTCTAGAGACTTAGGCTCTCTTTCTCAAGAAGAGCAAAAGTCAACTAAGCACAAACTAGTGTTTGCAACCACTAATTTTAGCAATTAAACATGGAATTAGCCCAAATATCAAACACCCATAGTCAATCGAGCTCTAAAATACAAGACCCATAAATTACCCACTCTAGGGTTGAGCCACAACCCTAGCTGATGGGTCTAGCTACTCATATTTAGAGAGAGAAACAAAGAAATAGATGAAAAATAACTCATATCAATTAATTGCTAAGATAAACTAGAAGATTCAATGTTGAAATGAAGATAAAATTGCCCAAAATAGCTAAAGAAACGGAAGTCACGAGCGCAGCTCAGTACAAAATCTATCTGCTTAACCTAAAAATGAAAACGAAGCTATTTATACTAAGCTGAAAAGTTTGGACAAAAATACCCCTTTCGGGGTTAGTGCGGACCACACAAAATGGTGTAAGGCCGCACTAGGGCTCTGAACACAAAATTCCAGCTCTCTGAACTCAGGCAATGCAGACCGCACAGAATGGTGTGCGGCCGCGGTGGCTTCTAGTGCAGTCCGCATGAAATGGAGCGCGGACCGCATTGGCTTCAATCTTCAAAACTGGCACCTCTCTGATCTTTGGCTCTGTGGACCGCACTAAATCGAGTGCGGCCGCAGTAACTTCAATGCGGACCGCATTAAATCTTATGCGGCTGCATTGCCTGTTGGCCTGGAAAACACCTTCTTTGAATCTCACTTGTGCGGACCGCACAGAATGGTGTGCGGCAGCACGGGCCCTGTTTTGCCTGAGCTTTGTCTTGTCATGGTACTTGTGCAAGTTTCACTCCTTTTTGAGCTGACCTTTGACATCTTGTCACTTTGTTGATCAAACCTGCAATCAAGTACAACTTGTGAGCCTTTTGGGACTATTTCGTACAAATTTCTAATCAAAACATAAGCAAGGAGAAGTATAAAATGTATCAAAATCCCTAGTTATCACGGCTCCTCTTCCGCAGAAGCGAAACCGCAGATGTGGCACCCAGACCGCAGATGCGGCCCCAGCCAGCCCCATCAAATTTCTTAGATGCGGACCTCTCCTCGCAGAAGCGAGACCGCAGATGTGGTCCCCTAACCGCAGGTGCAGAAATCGCTAAAGGCAGTTCCTTCATTTAATACGGAAAATGTGTCATTTTTGACACAATTTATTCATTACTTGGGCGATTTGGGAGCTTCCAAAGAGGGAATTTCAACCTAGCATTGTGAGGTAAGTTATTTCTACTTAATGTGAGTTTAATACTTGGTTTTTGGGTAGATTAACACATAAATTAGTGGAAAATTATGGAATTAGAGTAAAACCTAGGGTATTGATAAAAATAAGATTTAATCACGAAATTTGTTATAGAATGAAGTAACAATCATATATTCTTGATCCTTGCGTTATGGGTAACAATTTTCTTCAAAAATTTGCGGAATTCGGGCATGTGGGCCCGGGGATGAATTTTAGGAACCTTGCATTTAGGGTTGAAAAATTACTTTAATAGTTAGAATATGAACTCTTGAGCTTGTATTGACTAGTTCTTACCCCGTTTGATTAGTTTTGGATCGTTCAGCTCCGAATTTGAGGGTTTGAGCGCGTTCTTGAAATTGGAAGTAAGCTTTAGAGCAAGGTAAGTCTCCTTTCTAACCTTGTAAGAGGGAATTATCCTTATAGGAGAAATAATTGGATATTTGCCACTAATTGCGGGGGCTACGTACGCTCGAGGTGACGAGAGTCCGTGCGTAGCTACTATTATGCTTAAGTCCGGATAGTCTAGGGCCCAAAAGCATGCTTTACTTGCTATATTTGTAAGTTTATTGTTAATTCAAATTGTGTAAATCACATCAAATTTGGCAAATGAATTTCTAAAAAGTTAAACATCATTTTCTTACCCGTTAAAGAGAAGTTTGACATTACTTTGGGTAATTGCTTTCCTGATAAATTATTTATTGACTGCTTGATATGTTTATCTGTGTATGACCGCGTCGCATGTATGATTCGCGAGCGGCGCAATAGATGCATCTATGGTTCGCGCCGTTCGACCCTTCGGCAGTGCACATTTTATTTTTATGTTGGATCGGGCCGTACGACCTCAACATTATTTGTGCATGCTACGTGCTTGGTACTTTCTGTGATTTGAACTATTTTAAATGCCTTGAAATATAGAGTAGATTGTTAACTGAAATGCTATCTATGAAAGATCATGTCACTTCCTTCTATCAACTATTACTTGTTCATGACATACATGCTTAGTGTAACACTTAAATTATATAATTATTGACCATGGAAAGTGTCAAGTCGATCCCTCGTCACACCTTCTTCGAGGTTAGACTGGATACTTACTGGGTGCATATTGTTTATGTACTCATACTACGCTTCTGTACTTAAATGTACAGGATCTAAGGCAGGTGCATCTAGCTACCAGTCCGGCGCGTGTTCCTGATACTTGACCGAGATTCCACGGTGAGCTGCCCCTTCTGAGTCGTTCAGCAGCATGTCGGAGTCTCTTCTTTTGTTATTACTGTCTATTATGTTCCATGCAGTAGGATGGTTATAATCTTTTTGTATATTCTACTAGTTGCCCTAGAACTTGTGACACTAGTTCCTGGCACACACATTGTAGACTATTATTTTGGAAATGTACTATTATTATAACTTGTTAATTATTGACTGTTTAAAAGTTTAAGTTTTAAAAATGTTGGGATTGTTTTGGTAATATAAATGAGCACTCACTAGCTGATTAGGGTTGGCTTGCCTAACAACGGTGTTGGGCGCCATCACCACCTATAATGGAGTTTGGATCGTGACACTTACAATGTCACTTGGTTTTTTTTAGTTATTTCACTTGACTTAATGAGATTGTATTTTCTTCTACTTTTAATTATTGATAGATATATAGATTTTCAATATATAAAAATTATTATTTCAAGAAAAAAATAGTTAAGTGTTTTTAAATTCGAATTAAAAAAGAGTAACTAATTATTAATAAAATATAATGCATTATTTTTAAAAAAATTAAATTCAAAGAAAAACTAATTATTATCCACTTGGGTTAATGTAGAGGCTTTTTTCTTTTCTTTTAATAATAAATATAGATAGATTTGTTAAATACTTAACCTGTATACCTATTCGCTCAATTAAAGTGTCTCACACACACTGTGCCATATCAACAATATGTGTTTAATAGGTATCTGTAACTTGAGTTCAGGTGTCCAGGTGTCCAATAGGAATAAGGTTTAGTTTAAGGGGTTGTTTGGTAGGATGCATTAGATAAGCTAATGCATGCATTAGCTAAGTGTATTAATAATACACTGTTTGGTAGACATTTTGAACCTATGCATTAGTTATGCAAGCAATAGTTATACATCCTATTTGGTATTATCCTATGCATAACTAATGCATAGAAAACAATGGTAATGCAATGGGTTTTAATGTATGCATTGTCCTTCAAAATTTATGCTTGATTAAAATATGCTAGTTAGTATATTAATGCAAGTTCAGAATAATCCAAATAGTAAGAAATAAAATTATATCCCTAGTAAATTAATAAATACTTAGCATATTTCTTGGTAGACAAATAAAATAATTTTTAAAACTTTTTCATATAAAAATATTTCTCAACATATGTTTCTTTTAAAAAGTTAGAGTGTGGACTAGTTTTGAGGGCATTTTTGTAAACAAACAATTCTTTTAGAAATTGTGCAATGCTTTAATACATCAAACCAAACAATGGATAAGAAATATGTCAGCATAACTAATACCGACATGACTAATGCAAGCATAACTAATACCAGCATTACTAATACACTCTATTCAGCATTATTCTTATGCACACAAGTTTAAGGGGCCAATTACATGTTTGGCTAAATAGGAAGGGGTATTAAGAGATTATGAAAACCCCAAAGCATTAGGGAAAAGTAAAAGGGATATCAAAATTGGAATGGAAATTGGATAGTAAAATCCTTTTCCTTGTTAAAAACAAATTGGAAAGGTCCTTTTATATAAGGGGGCAATCAGCAGTCCCATATCAAGCGATATGATATCCATGGAAGGAGGAAAAGGTGCAGAATAGCTGAAGAACAAATTAGTAACAGTTTGAATTCGGCGTGGTTGCCTGAAGAGCTTCTTCTTCACATCTTCTCATACTTTACAAGCAGGGAATTGATTTCAACAGTTTGTTTGGTTTCCAAGAGATGGCATCGCCTCGGAAAATCTTCCCTAGCAATTCTGGATTATAGCGTCGAACCATTATTCTCCTCTCGAAAGCACGTTCTCGCAAGTTTCTTAAAATTCGTCGACCAGATTGAAGTAGAAAGTCCAAGACTTTCTACTTCAATTCCAGTTCGTGTCTTGAAACTTCAACTCAATCGGAGACTCGAACGGGAAATCACTCAGCTGATGAAATCGTTGGCAAAATTCAACTTCACTGAGTTGTTCCTTCACTCTGTAAGCATTAAAACTATGCCTTCCGTACTTAACAACTCCAATTTCCTTTCCGTCCTGCATTTAACTGATTGCCAATTCCCTAACCGACGTTTTTCTGCAGTTCCCACCTTGTTTTCTTTGCAACAACTACTTCTCTATGACGTTGTTATTGAACATTCCCAGGATTTCTTCCTTAACCTTTCCCAAAAGTGTCCTTGTATTGTGGAATTGACTCTCACAAACTGTTCTGGATGTGAGTATATCGACTTACCTGCTGGTCAGTATAATAAACTAAAGAAACTCCGGCTGCATAATAGTTACTCAAAATATAGTCTTGGTTATGGTTACTCAGAACTATATAAGTTGCAAAGGGTAAGAATAGCGGCCGAAAATCTGGAGAGGTTTTACCTTTACTATAAAGGAAGGAATCAGATTGACTTAGATATTGGACAGTGTGGACAGCTACAGTTCTTGCATTTACACTGTGAACAAAACTTTCCTGCTGGATTCCATACAACAAATATTTGCTCTATGTTTCCTCACCTTAAAACTCTCTTTATTTATCTTAACAGGCCGCTGAATGACACTCTCCGTGTGGTGAGCGACCAGCTTGAAATCTTAATTGTATGGAATAAGTATGACTTATTTATACCAGTTGATTTCGTTACTCCAAATTTACGTACATTTACATATATTGGTGGAGAAATTATTACGGACTTTGCTCCCATAGATGCTTCCAAGATTAGAGAAACTCGGATTGAATTATCCTCTTCGAAAACAAGCAACGTGGATTGGTTTGTGAAGCTGAGATCTTATATCGCAAAGTTTAGCAAAGATACTGTTCTATGCTTGTCCATCTATGAAATGGCATGGTTTCATCTACATAATACTGACGATCTTGGGATTCATCTACCATGCCCTATCAAGAAGCTGAAGTTACACATATGTCAGTCATTGCCACAAAACCACTGCAAATCACTTCTGGATTGTTTGCTGTGGACTTCCCATCCGGAGATTCTTGAGTTCGACTCAAACATCAACTTCGAATTGGTCTTGCGTAAGGAATTGGATTATATGGTAACAGAACAACATTGTTGTAAGGCTACTCTTGTTCACCGATGCTGGCGCCTTTTCTTAACAGATTTCAAGATTGTCAGATCCAATTCCACCAAGAGAAATGAACCAAAGTACTTCACTATTCTATTCACATGGTAAGCCATGTCACATATAGGTAGTTTATTGTTATTATTATCATTGTTATTTTGAGTTGGAGGAGGAAAGACGAGTTAAATGGTTTTATGAGGATGAGTTACTGCAACAATTCCTTTTCTCTTTTTTTATTTTTTATTTTTGCAATTGGATTATGCTTACTCCTTTTTAATTGGTGGGCCAAATTGTACTTTAACACTTACATTTGTGTTCATCTGAAAGTTACATAATGTTCTTCAGTCCTCTCTCAACTGTGAATTTATATCATTCTTTTGTGTTTCTGTGGATGTCTAATGAATGCCGGAATAGATGCTTCTCTTGCTTAGACAAATAAGCAAGACAAAGAGGACTTGCGACTGCAAGTCTCATATTATTGATAACTATCGTTTACAGCGAAATAATGGGATCCTGACAGGTAAAATAGATAATACTAGTTGTGTTGTGAAGTAGAGAGGCTGATGAGATACATGAGTTGTGTATCCTCTTTCCGCCACCATTACAAGTAACCAACATCACATTGTTTATTATAAAAGAGATAGCAGATGATAAGTTAACTAAAGCAGTGGCAATTTGATTAGTTTGTCTATCAGATGATAGTTTGACGAAAGCTGGCTTTGCAGCCAGCATTTAATGTGCTCTGGCCTTCTTCAGTTACTTCAAAATCCAACTTACCGTGGAAAAGAATGGGGTGTTTCATCTTCCTCCATCCAAATGCCCAGCTTGTGAAGCTTCTGTGTTTGTTTTTTACTTTTTTCTTATTCCTATTGCAGCTCAGAATGGACCCTCTGAACTTCCATTGGTAAATTATCTTTTTCAAGTTCTTCTTTAAGGGACTTGACCTCCTCCTTCATAAATGACCAACTACTTTTCTCGTCTGACTTGCTATATGACCGTTCCCTTGTACTGCATCCATACCTTCGTTGTAATTTAGGAAGTGTATGAGCATGTATAGAAGCTTACAGGTCTGTCTTTTGTGCATGTATGTTCTTCCGCAACCTCAGGTTATAGCACTCGTTTTGCCTTGGCTTGTTAGATCCATGTTAGAATTCGTGAGTGCTCAATGTGTTGGATGTATTATTCAGATATTCTGTCAGAATTTGTGTGATCTGTGGTGAATATGGTGTTCAAATTTCTGAATAGAGTTATAGTAGGAGGTGAAGGAAACAAACAACTAGCCATAATATAAGCAGTATGAATATTTCAGATTTATCCGTCCAAAATATGAAAATAAAGATTAGTAGTAGGCTAGCTTCTAGTTTGTCCTTTTTATTGAATGGGTGAGATTGCTTCTAGGTTAATGTGATGATGGAATATTTTATGCCAAAAATTGAAAGGATGCAACAGCGAGCTAGTATACATATTTGTTGACGAATTCTAATTTTGTGACTTTTGATGCTTGGCGTTCATTTTCTAGGATAGGCATTATAGAAGTTAGCTTTAGTAGTTCCATTCATTTTCCCGTGGAAACTTGTCAAGTTAAACGGAAGCTAATCTAGCTCTAGCTTTAAGATTTTTAGCCTTGTTGATATCTATGAAGTTTTAAACAGGAAACTGAAGTGTAATCTACTATAGTTTACTGCTGGTATGATGGTTGGTGAGGAACTAAGGATCTTGACACTGAATATGTCCTATAAGATGGAGGACGCATTCACGACTTTTATTCTATCATTAGCAGGATCAAGATATTTAGGCTCAGATATCTCAAAGCAGAGGATATTTTACATGGATAACAATTCTTATAGGTCAACCTGTCATATTTTGAGCTGCATGTGTGCTTTCATCAATTGACAACTTTACACAGTCCATAATCTTGTGTAGCAGTAGCACTAGCCGGTCATCATCTGATAGTGAGGGATAAGTCCATGATTATATATTAGGCCAGCTAGTGTTCTCTTGCAATTCCTGAACCAGCTTACTGATATTTTAATGCAGTGGACTTCAATTCTTGTTGCTGCAACTGTTGTTGCTCACTTATCAAGAAATAATCCAACATCCATCATACAGCTTCTATGTTGAGCATGGTCTGTTTTAATTTCCAGCTTAACTAGATGAACCATTAACAAGAAATTGGTAGGACTCTTGATAGCGATGATCATGTTTTAGCTTGTCTAGGCGCCTGCATTGAGATGAAATTAATGTTGAAAGATGGACCTTCGGAGCAATGAGATAAACCAGATGATAGGAACACACTCTCCAAAACTGTGTAAGTAAGGCATACAAGGTCATTCACACGGGCAATTTCCAGCACATGCATTTTGTTTTCTAGAGCTCCTGAGATAAGGACTGGTGATGCTGCATACAGAATGGCCATCTTAAACATCCGCAGGAGGAACTTGCAACTAACAGTTTCTTCTTAAGGATGCAACATATTAACCGTAGTCTGTATGATTTTTCTTCCCTGTTGAGGGTGTTAGGCTAGTTTGTAGTGTCTTGCTTTAGATTGTTAGTGGTACTGGTTGTGTTTGTATAGTTTTCTGCTCGGATTGCCTAGTACCTTTCCATTATTCTGATTATTGATATTGCTTTTTCCATTTATTTTTCTGATTCTTAGGTTGCCTCCTTTTCATCTCCTTGTGCTAAGGGTCTTTCGGAAACAACCTCTCTACCCTCTAGGGCAGGGGTAAGGTTTGCGTACACACTACCCTCCCCAGACGCCACACGTGGGATTATACTGGGTTGTTGTTATTGTTGTTGTTGTTGTTGTAGTAGTTTGTATGATTGTTCTGTGCTCCTTATTCTTTCCAATGCCCGTATCCTGCCTCCTTTTGCTCAGCATCTCAAATCATTTCCTCTATTACCATATTTTCCTGTTCCTTCTGTTTCAGTTTCCATGTTTGCGAACAATTTTCCCCTATACTACATGTTTAAAACTCTCTTTATTTATCTTAACTGGCCACTGAATAACACTCCATATGGTGAATAACCAGCCTGAAAGTTTAACTATATGGAATAAGGACGACGTACTGATTCCAGTTGGTATTGTTACTCCAAATTTACATTCAATTAGATATGCTGGTGCAGGAATTACTAGGGACTTTGCTCCCATCAATGCTTCTAGTTTGTTTTGAACAAGGAAAGGTTTTGACTTCCCGTTCCTCTTCCCTAAATTTGAATGGTTCAAGGGCAAAATTGGCCTTTTTTCCTTGTTCTGAAGCACCCGTTAGACGTAAGAATATTTTTGAGCTACTTGGCTGGTGGGAGGGTATTTTTGAGCTAGTTGAGTAACACGAAGGCATGTTTGTGCCCAAAACGAAACAGGGGCGAGTAAATGTGGGAGCCACCTACCGCCACTTGAATATCCTAGTTCTAGTTAATATCCACCCTTTTATTTCTCCTTTTTTTTTTTTATATATTTATTTTGGGAGTAGAAGAGTTTGCAAGAAGGAAAAATAAAGCTAATTTTAACCGTTTTATTTGAGTCAATTCTCCACCATAGGGACCGGCTTCAAGCCTTCAATTAAGCTTGTTCTCCACCTTAGAATCCAAAATACACCTACCTAATATACACGGGTGAAATTCAAAAATAGCCACAGTTTCAAAAGTAATTGAAATTTAGACATTTTTAGTGTAAAGATAAAATTTGAACAAAAACATTATTAAAAATCCGGAAATATTCCAGCATAATATGCTAGAGTTCAAATTTTTACATATGAACTTTTATAATGTACTGGAGTTCCATCATAATATCCTGTAAATTTATATGCAGGAGCTCCATAATCCCGCATATTATGCTGGAACTTTCCGTGTCTTGGAGTTCCAACATAATATGCTGGAAGTTTATACGCAAGAGCTCCATAATCCCACATATTATGCTGGAACTTTCCGTGTATTAGCAAAACAATGGCTATTTTTCAATGAATTCGCTAACACTGGCTAATTTTTCGATTACCGGTCCGAAAAATGGCTAGCCTGTGCTATTTCTACAATATAAATCAGTAGAGCATAATGGCAAAATTTGTTTTATACCATTCACTGCAGAAATAAACTAGGAGTAGTAGATGATTCTTCCCAAGTTAGTTTGCAGTATCTTCAATGCGAAAAATATTACGTAAACACTAAGGCCCAGTATCAGGGAAGCTCTAGTGGTATTCACATATTTAGTGGAGTCACAACTCCAAGATACTACAATAAGTCTTACCTTAATACACAAGTAGAAGACATCCAAACATTAAGATGGTGCCATAAAATGCAGGTAGATAGACTAATGTTTCAGCAATTAATTGCAACAACTGTCTCACATTCGTCTAATCCACAAACTTATCCCTTGGGCAAATGATTGGACTCTACGCGGTTTTCGCTCAAATTGACCTCACAGACAACATTCTCACTGTCCTCCTGATCTTAATCAAATTGTCTCTAGAAATAAATACCATGTGTGTCACACTGAACTTCAATGCAAGGTGAGAAACCATCCCAGCAACCTTTGAGTTGTCCTTCAGTTCCAGCCACAGACTCATTTTTCACATTTACTCAAAGCAGTCCCCACCAAAACTCAATCTTTTTATCAGATGAACTTTCTTGAATGACTAGTCATATGCAGTAAAGACAACTTACAATGCAGAAATCCATTCAGCTGGATCGGCCAGAAAGCCCCCGAAATGATTCTGATGGTACCAACCACGTTCACAACCAACGCATAGTTGAAACTGAAACAGCTGACGACTTCAAGAAGAAAGAACAATCATGGTAAGAATCTTAAAACCGTAAGCTTCAGTGTTTAGTTTGATCATGTAATTTCCTCATACTCAATAAAACCAATTTTTTTTTGTTTTTTTAGCTTTTGTTAGTTAGTTTGTTTGTTTCTAGTGTGCTTTTCATCTGTTTTGCAGGTTTGCGACTTGTCAGATTCCAACTGATCTCACAATTCAAGTCGAAGATGTCACCTTCCACGTTCACAAGGTAACTACAGAGATTATATCCAAACTAATCGAAGCATTATAATTCATACCAAAAAAATTCAGATAGTAAACACCATAACTGGAAACAAGACTAAAAGAGAGTAAGTTGCTTTTCCTAATTAACACGCCAAGAACATGATTATAATTCTACTCATCATTAAGAATATATTGCTGCATAAGGTTTCAACATATGATCACCTGTATAATTCCAAAAGAAGCCTTCCTTGACTTATCATTGAAATGACCTTGTAATATTCTTGCCAACTTGGGAGAACAGAACAAGAAAGTGAAGATATTGACCTGAAAAAAGGTTAAAAGAGTGCTGCAATAATTAAAAAGTTTAGGAAAAGAAAAACAAACTAAGAGTCAGCAATCAGAAAGAAAATAAATTAAATTACAAACAAGTGAAGCAATATAAACTCTTTTCAACAGCTATAAAAGAGATCTTCAAGCCCGATTTTCACTCCTTGGAGTTCTGCAATAATGTATTTATCAAAAAAAAAAAAAAAAAGAGTGCTGCAATGATGTGATTACCTGTTATTTACTTGTCCTCATACATTCACCGGCTTATGAGAAGTTGATTCAAGTTCATGTACTCCTGAAACAGTATCCACTGGTTTCAAGGTGTGGCTACCTAAGAACAATTAAGCTTCCGCGGCCAAATTCACATTTAGGTTATGACCTCAAGCTTGAAAAGTTTCCAGGCGGATCTGAAACTTTTGAGATCATATTGAAATTCTGTTATGGCCTACCTATAAGCCTGAACCCTGACAATGTCGCAGCAGCAAGATGTGCCTCTGAATTTCTAGATATGACAGAAGCAATGGAAGATGGAAACTTAATTGCTAAGACAGAAGCCTTCTTCACATTTGTAGTCCTCTCATCATGGAACGACACCATCACTGTCCTTAGATCATGTGAGATTCTATCACCATGGGCAGAAAACCTTCAGTTGGTTAGAAGATGTTGCGACTCAATCATTTTGAAGATTTCCAGAGGAAATTCAGCTGAGGAGAAGCTGACTGAAGAGAACTGGTGGTTCAAAGATGTTACTACTCTCCATATTAACCATTTCTTACGGATAATCACAGCACTGAGGGCAAAAGAAATGAAGCCTGAAATCATTGGCTCATGTATAATACGCTACGGGGAAAAATGGTTGCCAAGCACGGACACGAAAACAGAAGAAATGGGAAAATATGGTAACAGAATAAATGATTTTCATGTCATGAGTGGGAGGAAGCAAGAAACGAACATTGGACAGAATAAGGAGCGTAGGACAATCATAGAGAGTCTTGTTAGTATACTGCCTCCTCAAAAGGAAGCTGTTCCTTGCAAGTTCCTCCTGTGGATGTTAAAGAAGGCTATTGTGTATGCACCATCACCAGTCCTAGTTTTTGAGCTCGAGAAAAGAATCAGCATGGTGCTGGAAAATGCCACCGCGAATGACCTTCTGATCCCTACTAATTCAGTAGGCGAACAAACAATAGAGTGAGTTTCTATCATTTGATTTAGCACATTGCTCTAAAGGTCAGTCTTTCAATTTTCATCTCAATATAGGCACTTAAAGAAAAGATAAAACTTGAGGAATCCCAAATAGAGTCTTACCAAATTCCGTTAATGGTTCATCCAGTTCAACTGAAAAACAGACCATGCACAATTTAGAAGCTGTACAAAGGATTTTGGATTATTTCTTGATATACGAAAAACAACAGCTACAGCAACAAGGATTGAAGTCTACAGCATCGAATATCAGTAAACTGGTTGACAGCTACCTAGCAGAAATTGCAAGTGATCCCAATGTCTCCATCGACAAGTTCCAAATTTTAGCTGAATCTTTGCCACGAGAAGCTCGAGCAAGTCACGATGGCCTCTATCGAGCCATTGATACATACCTCAAGGTCTCTCTCTCTCTCTCTTAAATTTTTCTGTCACTTATATACTTCCTGATGTACAAGTTGATAAAGAATACTAGTGGTTTAATATTTTCCATAGACTCATCCCTCACTGTCAGAGCATGACCGCCGAAGGCTGTGCAAGATTATGGACTGTGGGAAGTTGTCACTTGACGCATGCGCACATGCAGCACAAAATGACAGGTTGCCTCTAAGAATTGTTATCCAGGTATAACTGCAAAAAGATTTCTACTCCTAAACATCACGATCGAGCTAAAGTATATAAAAGCTGACAATGAGCCCTTCATATTGTAAGGCATATTCTGTCTCTAGATCCTTACTAAGCATCATGGCAGAAGTAAACAATAGCATAATACAATTCAGCTTCTTAAAACTTTCTAGATGCTAACAAGGCCAGAATCTTACACTAGAGCAAGATTAGCTTTTATTTGACGTTACAAAGTTGAATGGTGAAATAACTGGATATAGTGGAGCTAACTTCTACGGCATCAGGGGTGTGGCCCAGTGGTCAATGAAGTGGGTTGACAACTATGAGGTCTCAGACTCAAATCTCAATCGAGGCAAAAAAACAGTAGGTGAGTTCCTCCCATCTGTCCAAGCCTTGATTGGTAGAGTTACCCGGTACCTACACTGGTGAGAGGTAGCAGATACCTGTGGAGTTAGTCGAGGTTTGCGCAAGCTAGCTCGAATATCACGATTATCTAAAAAATAAAAAATAGAGCTAACTTCTATGTGCGAAATGTGCAGGCATCAAAAGCCACAAAATCACAATTGGATAATCTTACACATTAATTAGCTTGCCATTGCATTCTTTTATTTTTAGGCACAAAATGTCTCGAAACCAAACATTAAAATTCAAACCTAGAAGCATCTGACCCATTTATGTAAAAGACAATTAGAAACTAGTCTACTAATCTTTATTTTCTTACTTTGAATGGCTATATCTGAAATAGTCATCCTGTGTATCTTAGGGCAAGTTGTTTGTTTTCCTCACCTCTTTTTCGAACTATATATCAGAAATATGAACACCTTATCCACCTCAGAATTCAGATAACACAAATACTATTAGCACATGCAACAAAAGGACCAGAAGAATAGACCTTATCTGAACATACTAGATGTATCAGGACATGGTGGAGCTTCATCGAACCAGCAAACAATGTGAAACTTGAGGCACATATCTGGAAGAAAGCTGCAGTAAATATTTTGAGTGAAATTGCAATAAGAATGTCTAACATGGATTGCTCAAGTGGGTGAAAACCTTGGATATCAGGGTTCAAATCACAACGGAGCCAAAAAACGCTAGGTGATTTCTCTCCATCTGCCTAAGCTTGGTGGGTAGAACTACTAGGTACCTATGCTGGTGGGAGGAGTAGGTATCGGGTAGAACTACTAGGTACCTATGCTGGTGGGAGGAGTGGGTATTGGGTAGAACAATGGAGATGCGAGCAAGCTGAACCAAACACACCGTCATAAAAAAAGCCTAATATAGATCTAAGAAGCCAAGGCAAAAGAAGTGTTGTAAACTAAGCTTACAAAAAGGGTTATCAAAAACTAAGCTTGTAAAAAGACATATATGTACCAAAACAATACCAAATAGCCTTCTAAACATGCTCATAAACTTATGGATTAAAAAAGAGAGAAACTTGCAGGTTTTGTTCTCAGAGCAAGTGAAGATGAAGGCTGCAATACAAGGGAAAGATCATATACCAAGTGATGACGAGTCAGACAAGGAAAGTAGTCAGTCACCTTCCAAGAAGGAGGTCAAGTCCCTTAAAGAAGAACTTGAAAAAATAAAGATACAAATGGAAGAGCTTCAGAGGGACTACTCGGAACTGCAACACGATTATGAAAAAGTAAGCAACAAAAATACAAAAACAAGCTGGACATTTGGGTGGAGGAAGATGAAAAAATCTGCTCTTTCCGATGGAAAATTGGATAGTGAAGTAACTGAAGAAGGCCATAATAGATCAAATGTAGGCTGCAAAGCATGCTCTCGTCGAAGGCAGTCTATATCCTAAGATCCTAAAGTTGTGCTTCTTATCAGATCAGACAGAGTGTCAAATTACAAATTGTTCATCTAATTTAATGAACTCATCATCTGCCATCTTGTTTGTAAGTAACTATGTAATAATGTTATCACTAATGGACATGGTTGCATCACCTGCATAATTCAGAAACACAGTCATTTATCTAAGTGGCATTTATACTTTACAACAGAACCAGTATCTTCTGTTCAACAGATCAGGATCCCATCATTTCCCTATAAAGAATAGAAATCAATCATATCACACTTCCAGTCAAAAGTCCTCTTGATCTTGAAGATTTCTTCTTTCTTTTGATCAAATGTTTTATGTAGCTGTGGCTTCCCACAACAAAAGAAGAAGAAGAAGAAGAAGAAGATATGAACTTCCTAATACACATTTTTAGCCTGACGACGATAAAAAAGAAGTCTGGCCTCATTACTTCTTGCACAAAGCAAGCTTTCTCATTTAACCATTGGAGATGACTAAATCACAAACAGTTTATTCAACCCAATTTCAAGTACCATCTCTGATCATCCATGTAAGAAACAATACAAAAGAAACTCATCATGTTCCAGCTTTCAACTCACAAATATCAAATTATCTCCAATGAATGAAGGTAAATACATAGAACTTCAAATAATTATAGAGAAGTTGACATAAGTGATATACTCCAGGATAATACACCAACATTACTAAACTGAGCTATGGAAGCACTTCACCCAAAAAACTCTCTGACAAAGATCTCCTCATTCCAATTGGAAAAAGGAAGTCTACCTAGCAGCATAAGACCTCATACTGCTCCATGGGAACTTCGCTGGTGCTGCACCAACATTACTCCGATCTCCATCATAGCCACGACTAGTGCTCGTCTCTGATTTAGACCTCCCATATTTCTTCCCGTCAAGCCAATGCATCTTCTTAGGTTCATCATCCTCAACAATGCTAGATTTTGATTTCTTGCTCGTATTCTTCTTCTCCTCTTCGAGTATCCGGACTGGATATAGGTCCGATGAGATAGACAACGGGTTCTTAAGAGTAACATATGCTTTTTTGTAGTCTGGTTTAGCTATCAACAACCCACCTCTCTTCTTCTTCTTCCCATCCATGTTAAGGGTTTGGACCTTCTCCACCTCAAATCCGTATAGTGACTCCAAAACTCTCTTTATCTCAATCTGTACAAATAATCCAACGCACCTTTGATACTAAGTTCTTCGTTCATATTTCAATTTAACTTGTATGAATTAGTATTTCTCTCATTATGTCAATGTGTATATAAAAATCCTAGAAACTTCTTGAAGCTAAGTTTCCAAATCATATTTTCATATCACTTGTACCAAAAAATACCTCTTTATTTCGATCTGTATAGAAAAATAAAAACTCTACATGTTATGATGTTTAAGAAAAAAATGAACATTTTACAAAAGCTAAATATGCTTAAAATATAAAATACTCTAGCAATGACTACAGAAAAAAAAGGTTTAGCAAAGTTAAAAATGAAAAATTCAAATTTGGAGTTAATCACTACCTTAAGACGAATCCTCCTTTTTACTTGAGAAATATTGGATTGTCTTATCTCAATATGCACGTAAAATTGCAAGAAATCAATGAAATTAAGGTTAAGTATATAAATACATTTTGGGTTTCAGACCATCAGTTCATTCTCGTTTTCTCCTAACTTTTCTCAGCCGCAGTCTGCACTATTCATTCTTCAAGTCTTCACAATTCCCTCTTCAATGTCTTCATTCCATCAATGGTAAAAGTTGCATTTGTGCCATTAACAGGGCTTCAAATACATATATGTTTCTTAATAAAAGTTGCATTTTCCATTACTGGGAGTTGCATTTGTACCATTAACAGGGGAATTTGGGTTAGCAGACCAAACTATGGCTATGCTTGGAATCTGACTATGCAAACTTCAGTGATTGAAATTCACTTCATGTGCATTACACACTATGCTTCTTACCTCTGCATTGAGTTATCTTATCGGGTAAATTGATAACCGATATCTTATCGGTTCGACTATCGGTTTAGCATATTCATAAACCTATAACCCATATGCTAAACTGATAATGTTCACAACCGAGCCGATCGATGCACAGCCTAGTGGGAACTCTCAACAAAGTGGTCTTGAGCTGAAAGATGAATAAAAAGTTACACAAATATATGGCTCATTTTACATCATAAATTCAAAAGTTCTTTTTTTCTTAAATTCCGCACCAGTACTTTCATTTTTTACCCCCACTTATTCTAAGGGTAGAATTTTAAGGTCAAAAATTAAATATATTATCTATGGAATAATCGAGGGACAACACTAGTTAAATTTGAAGTTCTACCCATGGGACAATCAAAGATAAAAATTCAAGATCATCCATTTTGAGAGCTATTTATGTACTTCACCCCTTTTTGGCTTGGGCTGGGTTGACAGGCCTTAAATTCTATGGACTGTCTAGTAAGAAAATGGGGCATTTGCATCTACACCCGCTTTTTGTGTCACATTTTAACTTGTGTCCGCTTTGCAAAAAAAATTGCAAGCGTACCCGCTTTTTCGCATAACTTCAGCATACGGGGCTGAAGTAGCAAAGGCAATCGCGCAAAACTTCAGCATTCTAGTAGCCGGGCCTGAAGTTCAGCTCTAAAGCTGAAGTTTTTGTGTTGTAACTGAGCTGAAGTTTTTTTACCACCTATTAATATTACATACTAGAGCTCTGAAGTTTCCAGTTACAAAGCTGAAGTTTTTGTGTTGTAACTGGGAAGTTTTTTTACCACCTATTAATATTACATACTAGAGCTGAAGTTTTTGTGTTGTAACTGAGAAACTTAAGCTCTAGAGCAGTTTCTTTCTAGCTACAATTTCCTCTTCTTTTTATGGTTAATTATCGTGGCTGCAAGTCTAGTCGAAAGTTTCACAATATTCTGAAGGAAAACTAACTAACTTTTTATGGTTAATTATCGTGGCTGCAAGTCATGTCTTGCATTGCCACAACGTAAATAGGGCTGAAGTTTTCATGTGAATATGAGTTTATCCACAGTTAGTGGCTGCTCAAGTATCGGATATTTCCAAGTTTGATAATACGCACCAGTTATCGAAAACAAAGGAAGCAACGGAACTGGATTTGCATTCACGGCTAGTATCAGGTTTGGCTAAGAAGAAGAAAGAAGAAGAAGAAGAAGGAGGAAAAGGGGAAAGGGGATGAAGTTATTTAAAAAGTAGGTACAAATTAAAAGTTTTTAAAAAAATGGGTATAGGTTAAATGGGGACGACCAAATAGGGAGCCCCGTGCAATTTTTACAAGAAAATGTCAAAATAGCATGGGCTGACAATTTTCGAACTGGCAATTAAAAAAGGATTAGTTACCACCTATAGCAAAGGTTGATACCTTATTTAATTTAAATAAATACCCTTTAAAAAAATTATATTCCATAGCTACCTTTTGATTTTTTATAGCCAAATATCTATTTATAATCACATCCTACCTTTGAGCCATAAAATAAGCTTTGTATTATTTTTCTCTCTCATATCCCCTCAAATTTCTCCTATCCCCACCCAATATCTATTCTCCCTCTCTCTCAAAACTTCCCGATCTCATATCCTCTTTTCTTCTTCTTGTATAATTTCAACAATTGAAAGCGCAGTTTCAGGAACGCAAATAAATACTTAGCAAGAAAACAAAAATCATCGTTCTTTTTAATGATAGATCCAGTGACCATCTATCGCTTGCTTTCACAAATCCTTTCCTTCCGTCAACAATGCCGTGGACTTGCAGATGGGGCAATTGTTCTTCATAATCAACCATTTATGTATCCTGATACTGATGTTGCTTCAACGAGACGACATTAGGGTTGTTCTTGAACAAAGACGACGGAGTTGGGGGCTGAGCAACTTGAATTTTCTGTTAATATATTTCAATGTATTTCGTTGTATTTCATTGTATTGATTGTCTTTTTTTTTATTGTATTTCAATGTATCTCGTTGTATTCTATGTATTTCATTGTATTCATTGTCTTTTTTTCATTGTATTTCAATGTATCCCGCTATATTCTATGTATTTCATTGTATTCACTGTCTCGCTATATTCCACAAATGTATTCATATATTTTTTTTAATTAATATAATTTATGTATTCAGATGTATTATATAATTTCTCTGAAGATTGCTATGTTTTTAGGGTATTTTTTCGGTTGAGAATCTTTTTTATAACTGGAAATACAAAATTTGTGTGTTATAATTGAGTTTGTTGAGTTATATTAGGAGTCTATTATGTCAATTGATTCACTTTCCGTTTAAAAACAGTATAATCCCCTGTTTCACGTCGTGAATACAGTCGAATACAATAATCTGTCCAGCTGTAATCCTATGTTTCACGCCATGAATACAGTCGAATACACTCGAATACAACAACTAATTAGCTGGACTTCCCTGATTCACGCCTATTTTTGCTACTGTATTCATGAATACAGTAGCTTAAATACAACCTATACATCTTATAACAACAGAAAACGTATCTATAATCCGTAATATGGCAGATGGTATCTATAGATAGCTAATTACCACTAAAAGATAGTGCTTTATGAAAATTTCTCATTAAAAAATAACCAGTATTTGTAAAGTAATTAAAAAAATTGCCACTATTTAATGCGAAAATAAAATCTTAATATCATATGTGAAGTCTAGCATATTATGTTGTATGTTAATTTCAGCGTAGTATGCCGAGTTCAAACTTTTAGAAGTTAAATTCCAGCATATTATGTTGAAACTCCAAGAAATAATATTAAAACTCAAACAAGACACACAGTGTGTGAATTCTAGCATATTATGTTGGAGTTCCAACTTTTAGAAGTTAAATTTCAGCATATAGAGCTGGATCTCCAAGAAAAAAATACTAGAACTCAAACAAGACTGAGTCCTATATTCTAATTTCAGCTTTTGCTGGAGCTCAAAAAGAGTAAAAAAGATATGAATCGAGCCTTTACGCTCTTTTAAGTTAGATATTCTTCTCCAAATATTATTTTCGTCGGAAAAAATGGATAAATTTTTATTATTTGTGACACTAAAACTAATTTCTAATCATCAGTTGTAGGGTAATCCTGAATTTCCTCCTTAGAAAATCACAGAAATAGGAATCATAAGGGAGCTCTTTAACTTTTGGGCTTTGAAATAAGTTACCTGACTAATGGGCAATGGTCAAAGTCAAAAATTTTGCCCATTAGTAAAACTTGATAAACTTAGGATGTGTTTGGTAGGAAGAAAAATATTTTTCGGGAAATGTTTTTCAATTTTCCTATGTTTGGTTGGCTTAAATGTTTTGGAAAACATTTTCTTTATGAACTCATTTTCCTCCATTTGGAGGAAAATATTTTCCTTATCAAGAGAAGGGAAAACATTATCCAAAACTTCTTCTCAACCTTTACCACCGTCACCAACCCACCTCACCCCCTCTCTTCAAAAAAGGCTTCTTTTTTTCAAATTTCGGTTTCTGCGTAACCACCCACCCTACTACCCCTCCACCCCACCCCCTCCCGCAAAAAAAATTATTCTTTTTACCTTATTTTGTAATTTCAAATTTCTATTTTTTCGTTTTTCTGCACCACCCACCCCACCCCACCCCCTATCCCCTTACCTACCCCTTCCCCACCCCCACCCCCACCCCAAAAAAAAGTATATTCAAATTTCTATTTTTTTTCGTTTTTCTGCATCACCCCCTTCCCCTGCCCCCATCCTCCCAGAAAAAAATAATTTTTAAATATATTTTTCAGTTTTAGTTTTTTTATTTATCGGTAAATTTTACAAGTTCCAAAGTTATGAGTTCGGAGGTTTATGTGTTTGGAAGTTTACGGGATTAGAAATTATAAAGTTTACGGGTTCGGAATTTCGCGGTTTCGAAAGTTTAGCGGTTCGAAAGTTTATTAAATTTGTGGGTTCAGAAGGTTGTTGGTTTGAAAGTTTATAGCTTCATGTTTATTATATCTAAATTATTTATGAATATTCTTGAAAATCCATTTTCCTTAATTTACATACCAAACACCGGATAAATAAGATTACTACTTATTTTTCAAGAAAACATTTTCTTGAAAAATATTTTCCACGAAAAATATTTTTCGTTATACCAAATACACCCTTAGAGTTTTGCACATTAGTTAAGTGACCCGCCCTAAAGATCAAATGTTCAAGCCAACATCATTCAAGGTCATTGATGTCATCAACCCCTGTCTGATCTGTGACCATTGTTTGTTCATTAGTGTGGGCTGGGCTAACAATATCTATAATTTTACTCTTTTCTTCTTTTTGGATCTTTACAAAAAAATCGATTAAATTTATTATTTACTTTTCCTAATCGATATGCATAGATTATATACGATTATGCATATATTATATATAAACTATATAATTATATATTCGTTAATTATTTTTAGTTTAACAAGTTAGATGAACAACTATTTA